TAAGAGGACAGCTTGGAGTTTATTGGAAGTCCAACCGTAAGGCATGGGTAACAAGACAGCTCTTTAATGAATGGGCTGTTGATGTGTTTTGCCCTTCTGTGAAGAGCTACCTAACCACCAATAAACTCCCTTTAAAGGCTCTTCTCCTTATGGATAATGCCCCTGGTCATGACCCTCAACTTGCCAGAACTTTGGAGTCTCAATTTGACTTTGTCAAAGTGTTGTTTTTGCCTCCCAACACTACATCAATCATACAGCTAATGGACCAGAATGTGATCAGCAACTTTAAGAAGCTGTACATGAAGAAAATGTTCAGGAGGTGTCATCAGGCAACTTCCACTGATCCTGAACTAACACTGGCACAGTTCTGGAAGACACAGTTTAACATCGTGGAGGCTGTAAAATTGATTGTGTCCTCATGGCAAGAAGTCTCCACTAGAACCCTCAATTCTTCATGGAAAGCACTGTGGCCATCAGTAGTCCATGATTTTGAGGGATTTCAGGATGAAACAGAGTTGGACCAGGAGATTGTGTCCACTGGTCAGTCAATGGGCCTTGAAGTGGAGGAGGATGATGTAGAAGAGCTTGTGATGTCTCCTGAACAGGAACTTACTCCAGATGACTTGCAGCAACTGGATGAGATGTTACAGGCTGACAGTGGTGAGGAGGAAACAGAAAGTGATGACCATATGTCAACTTCAGAGTTGAAAGATATTGTTCACCACTGGGAGAAGTTCAGGAAACTGGCTTCAAGGCACCCAGATGTGGAAAAGTCTGAATTAGCTTTGTGTAATGTTGAGGACAAAGTGCTCTCCTTCTTTAAAAATCAGCTAATGATGAGGAGGAGAAATGCCCCACAAAGAAAAATTGATAATTTCTTCTCTAAAAGGCAGCGGGAGAAAGATGCTACCCCTCAGCCTTCCACTTCAAAAATTAGAGAGGATTTTCCTGCTGGAGAATCTGTCAGTCCAGAGGTTCCTGACATTTTTATGGAAGGTGACTCGCCTTCCAAGAAGCAGTAAAGTGCTTCTCCTCCACCCCCACTTCCTTCTCTTCTCCCTTCTTCACCTCCACCTCCCACTTCAAATTCACATCAGCATCATCATCCAGGAGCCTTCTACATACACACCTCAAAGTAAGTGTACTTTACTACCTTTTTTGTTGACTTTGGGCAATTTTCGGTGAGCTGGAACCAATTACCCTGTACAGTCATCCCTTGGTTATAGCGCACTTGGTTATCGCGATTTTCGTTATCACGCCTCCATCAAAATCTGCACACCTGCTGTTATAGCTCATTTTTCAGGCCGAGAATTTGGTTATCACACATTTGCCTCCAGGTGTAATGTTACCCCCTTGCTTCACCTTCATCTATTGAGGATAAAATCTTTCACCTAAAAATTGACAATAACACTTTTGCTGTAATCAGACATATCTAGTTGCCTCAACAATTGCAACTGGGGTTGCAATTTCAAATTCTGTGTCATTAATAAGGAATAACGAAGTCTCGGGTCCACTCTAAGATTGAGAGAAAACGGAGGACTCCGGCATCCTGAAGCGTGAGAAAACGGACTCCAATGACGGGACTCAAATAAAGAAAGCATAGCTACATGTTTTGTGGACTACAGTATTGAGCTTACCCTTTTCTTCACTTTGTAATAAACCTAGCCATGCCTATGTGTGTTTCTGACACTTACCATAACATTATACAGGGTGTCCCATAAGTTTCCATACATATGGTTTTTAACATTGGATTGGTCGGCGTGGTCCTGTGGAGTGGCCTCCCAGATCCCCAGACCTTACCCCACTTGATTTTTACCTTTGGGGGCATTTGAAGGCCATGGTGTATCAGGAAAAGATACAAAACATAAATCATCTCAAGCAACGTATCACCAACGCCATTACAAGCATAACTCCAGCTGTGCTTGAACGTGTTCTTCAGCAGTGGAGGACACGCATTGAAGAGTGTTTTCAACAGAATGGTAGTCATGTAGATTATATTATATTAATAAAAATGGATTTTCATATAAAAAGGTTTATTTTTTCTATGTATGGAAATTTATGGGACACCCTGTATATATCTTTAGGCCGAGAATTTAGTTATCACACAGTTGCCTCCAGGTGTATTGTTACCCCCTTGCTTCACCTACATCTATTGAGGATAAAATCTTTCACCTACAAATTAACAATAACACATTTGATGGATGAAAATGGATGGAGGTAACAAAACTTGAAAGCAGTTGTACAAACACAAGCACTCATGCATGCCACTCATGCCTTGCGTCTCCGTGCGCATGGCTTATTTTTTTTTGTATAATACATATCTGGATTTAGTTATTATTTATATAAAAATGTAATTTTTATATTTTTTATTCTATTTTCGTCGTAAATATGAAGAAAATAATGGCGTGAATTGAATTTGGTCCTAAATTAACTAGGGTCTTAAATATGAATCGACGTTAGTAGAACCGTCATTGTTTGAGGCTTTCCTGTACTTTATTAATAGAGCACGGACTTGAGGGTAGACTCATATTTTTGATAAATTTGTTTCTGATTATTTGTGAGAGAATGTTTTGTGTGTGTGTGTGTGTGTGTGTGTCTACACACACACACACACACACACACATTTACAATGCTACAGGCAAAAGAAATAATTTGTCCTAAGGGCAAACACATAAAGGGAATATACTGTACATTTCTTTGTACACAAGTAAAAATACTGTATTGTACTCCTCATTATCCGAGGGTATTAGGGACCAAGGTCTCAGGTATACTGTAGTACCAGTAAATGTGAGGAATAAATAAAAATTATACTAATAAATAAAATATATAAAAAATACTGCATTAAAAGTTGGCAATTGTTTCACTACATACAGGAGACTGGAGCAGCTGAGATCTCCAACAATATTCCTTCCTCCTATAATCTGGAGGCTAACTACCATGCACATACAAAATGTTTATTCCCTTTATGCTTTTGACTTTATGATAATCTTTTCTTCTTTTTTTTTTACACATTCTGTATTAACGATTGTGCATGCATGTAATAGAGTAAAAAATTAAATAAAAATACATACACTGCATCTATCGAAAATTACAAGTTGAAAAAGCAATAATGCAGCTCACAGCTTGGCTTAGTAGGGGAGCTTGAGATCCCAGCCCTGCACCTCCCTCACTGCCACTTCCCTCTGCCAACCTCACAATTGGCACATTTAATCCCACAGATGTAAGAAATGTTTATTCCCTTCAGGTTTTTTACATTAATTACGTATATCTACTCGTATATACAAGTTGAAAACTAACAATAACACACCTTCACCTGGTAGGGCGATGTAGCTACACATTCATATCACACTCATACACAACTATGCTCTTCATATTTCTTATTTTATGCCAATATATTTTTCAATATAGAGTACAGTAGAGTTGCAGAAATGTGTTTCTATGCCCCCTGTGGTAACCCTGCCTCCAAACAGCGCCATTGGAGTAGTAGTACAGTAAAGCCTCGATTAACCGACCCTCGATTAACCGACTTTCGGATTAACCGTCAATCTCGAACTCCTAATTTATTTATTTATTTATTTATTTATTTTTTACAGTGATTAGCCCACCCAGGCACAGGTTACTGACCCACATCGGGGCCTGGGGGGGCGATAATAATGATAATAATAATAATAATACAGTTGGGTCTTCATTTACGCGGTCAATTGAACCCGTAGAGTACCGCGTAAAACGAGAAACGTGTAAATGAAATAACAGAACATATGGGATTAATTGAAATAGAGACTGGGCCGACCCCCAAACTCCACTTTTTCCGACACAATACGTACCTTGTAGTCAAAATAACATCTTAATTTTATGATGGTATGCACACACAATTAATAATTAAGAGAAATATCAATAATATTAGGTTTTTTAACACTTACGTCAGTAGAAAAGATGGCTGGGCACACGGGGATGGGAGGTTGGTTCCGAGGCACAGGGCAGATTATTGGCCCTCACCTGTATCACTTGTATCAATTGTATCACTATCCACCACAGAGGCTTGTAAGGCCTCTTTGTCAAACCCCTGAAAGTCCATATCCTCACTATCACTATCACTGACTTGGGCCGGCTGTGGTGGGTGGCGGGTGAAGAATTCGGTAATGTTTTGATGACTGGGCGACCCTGCCCGCACCCCTTCCCGCGTAAATGACCAAATTTACTGTGTAATTAAAGCATTTCAATTCTGGCAAGGCACCGCGTAAATGACCAAACGCGTAAACAAAAACCGCGTAAATCCAGACTCAACTGTAATAGTAATAAAGAACCATAAAGAAATGCAAAAATGAAAAAAAAATAATCAAGAGTGAGAAACAATGTACCTGTATGTATGTTGTGTTGTCAATAGTAAGAGAAACAATTGAGGCCCTGCAATTGTGTGTAAATGGTATTTAGGAATGCATCCCTTGCGATAACTGGGACAGGTAACTGATAACTGGTAAATATTTTCTCATCATTGTAAAAAACACCAGCATATGTATGGTAAACTTCAGTTGGTCTTGCATGTTATTTATTTGTAGTGGTTCAAATATTGTGTCCCATATATGTGATCTTAGATTGCCAACAATGTCTTTCACATTTTGTACCAACACCAGAGCATTGCTAAAAATAAAATTAATGTTGGTTTAGACATCTCTGATGTAAGAATTGTACTGATAGGTTGCACTTTACATGTGGATTGATGTAGATGTTCCTAGTAGTTATGAGTCAGGGGAAACTGTATACCATGAGAAAATGTGAAAAAGTAAAAACTAAGCTTAACCCCTTCAGTTTGATGACACCACTTTTAATACTGTGTTTGGCTAACTCAAGACAATTTTAATCACCTCAGAGGGAACCCTGTGCACAAAAGATTAAAATTTAATATATTTAGTGGAAACTTATTATATCATGAGCCCATTTTGCTCTCTGCAGCTTAGATTTTAATCAATCCTTCACTGAAATATTAATATTTGTCTCACCAGATGGAGTCTTCAAATCGTAGGACAACCACAACAGAAGATTACCATCCTCTCCCACCAGGCTCTGAGGCCCACTGGGAGGTGGTAGAGAGAATCCTCTTCATTTATGCCAAGCTTAACCCTGGACAGTCTTATGTACAAGGAATGAATGAGATTATTGGCCCTATTTACTACACTTTGGCTAATGATCCAAATGTGGCTTTCAGAGGTAAGAAAGATGGAAAAAATCATAACGTATAATTATTTCACTTCCTTACACAGGTAAACCTCTATTTGTGAGAGGGTTAGATTCCTGAAAACTCATCGCAGGTCGAAATGTAATCAAACAGGTCCATTATAACATGGGGTTCAATGGGATAGGTTCCTGGCCAGTTGAACACCAATATGTATCACTGAAAAATAAAATCCTAGACTACTACTAACACTACAACACAATTAAACAACACACACCATATCATTAAGAAGTCATCATCACATGTTCACTTCAATGTTAAGGGGACTTTTAAGGAGGAGTGTAGACATCAACCTGAGTCCCACACAGACTTTGGGGAGACATTATCAAAGTTACACTGCTCACTTCACAGACACAAAAACATGATAATAATGATGGGAACTCAATTCTTATATGAGAAAAAGTAATTAATGTTGCGATGGAGGTGTGGTAGAAGATTAGTGGGTCTCATATTACCAACCTAACCTGATCAATGTCAGGTCACCCAATGTTAGGGTGGGGGATAAGTGGGTCTCATGACCTGAAAATGTTTTGAATAAAGAAGAAAGTTAAGTAGCAAATTTATTTATGGCTAGCAAAAATTTAATAAAGTTTTTTCACAACATTTGCTTTATTTCTGTTAGAGAATTGAATTTGGTTCCTGATATTATTTTTACCTGAGATATATATACAGTACAGTAAGTCCCCATTAAACATTAATCCTTTGAACAAATCCACACTATAATGAAAGCAAGTTTTTATAACCCATTTACCAATTAGCAAAAGAATGTTCTACTCCCACCTATCTTTTTTCTCACCACCAGCTCCATGATCACCACCATCACTGCCACTACCTCTATTATCACCACCTAAATCATAATTTCCCTTTCCTCCTATCCTCCCACTCACTGCTCTCACTAACACTGCTTCTCTCACTCATTCTATGACTGTCATTCATGATACAGGTTGACAATCCCTTAAACCGAAATCCTTGGCGGCGAAGGTGTGGCTATTGGGGGAGGCTGGAGGCAAAAAAAAAAAAAAAGTAGTAGTGGTAGTAGTGGTGGTAGTAGTAGTAGTAGTAGTGGTGTAGTAGTAGTAGTAGTAGTAATATCATTATTATTATAATTAGTAGAGCTCCCCACAGAACGTCTTGGGGTAAAGGGTAGTGTATATGAGTGGTGGGGTAGGATGGAGGGAGAGGAGGGTCGCAGTGGCAGGTAGAAAGGGGAGCGACTGGGTCATTGATGGAAAGGGTGGAGGCTTTTACCTGGTCTAGATGGGGGGGCTCTCACATACATACACAAAAAAAAGGTCAGGCGGACGAACAAGCTTGTTAGTATAGTAATATCTCCGTTAGCCAGAATCCCTCACACCTTGAACTCTCCAATAGCCGGAATTGAAATTTGCTCAGAATTTTTCCGGAAAATTTCCTAAATTCCGGGATTGGGAACAAATACCGAGGTTGAAAATCAGGAGCTTTTTCTGAAAAAATAAAAAATAAATCTTGAAAATCTGACCAAATTTTTATTTTGGGGTCTGGGAGCAAATGTCAATTATGAAATAATGTGCAATTACCAGAAAAGCAGAAAATTGCGAGAAAATCACTCCCAACCCTTCTGTTCAGGGCCTCGGGACAATGGTTCTTGGTATTATGAAAGACTGCATCACGTTTAGCCACATCTTCACATGGTTGGTGTGTGGGTGGGAAGACCAACCACTTGGGTAATGCTGGATTTTTCTGCTCTAGGTCTATATAATTACTGTGAAAATATAAGTATTTCTTTAAATATACATACAATACTAAAAAAAGAAAAATAATACAGTAATAAATCCTTGTAACTCCGAGCTGAGCTAACGAGGCGAAGGGTGAGGTGGTGAGGTGACATGCCAAGACACACAACACACACATTAACAGCACTACTAGACCATTGTCTTATAACATTTTACTTTATAATTTCTATTTTAAAATTGATTGATACATGATGGCTCGATTTGGCTTCTTTTGCACTTAGACAAATGATCAGGTATAAACCCGGGCACATGGAGGTGCATTATACACTAGTGATGTCACGAAGCTTTGCAACTGCAACCACGACTACTGAGCAACTGCATAAATTCTCACAACCTGTACTCAAATGTACTAAGTTAATTACTAAAAAAATTTTGTATAGTGCAAACATTTCATAGTTTGCACAAGAGATAATTTTTTAAGTCCTTTAGCATAGCACATTGAGTACAAAATGAGTACAGTAATATGCTGCTCAAAATTATGGCCTTTTCAAAGAGAAAAGTCTGTATAACTAGCCCCAGTGGTCTGGATATTATGGTACTGGATGCTATGGAGTATTTCAAATAAATTCTTTGTTTAGTTCTTTACATAGAAACTTGGGAATAGAAACTGTAATAATTTGGTGTATGCTATAACGAATCTAATTGGTTCTAGAACCTTGTTCGTTATAGCATTCGTTCGTTATAGGATTAATCCATTCCAGGCCCCCAAATACAACCACTTAACACTGAAAAATATAACAAAATTGTAAAAATTGTGAAAAAGTGCATAAATATGCATCTAAACTCCTGAAATAAAGAATATCATTAATACTTGTAATAAAAAAAACAATAAATTAGTAACAAAAAAAAAAAAAAAAATCTTTGTAGGAGTTTCGTTCGTTATAGCATACTCAATTTTATAGGTAAAACCGTTCGTTGTAGGAATATTCATAGTAGAATCCATTCGTTATAGCATACCCCATATACCTTCATATACTGTACAGTAAAATACTTATTTTTACCTTATTGTTAACCTTGTCATTTAAGGATATCATATTGGAAACATCACATAGAGGATCATTATGGTATCAAATTCATCTCTTTAACACAAATAAATATTATAACGAAAGCTGTGAGGTAGGAGGGAGAGGGAGAAGGGTCCATTAGGGGGTAAATGTGACCGCTCCTCACCCAAAGGGTCGCCTCGCTGATTGTTTGTCTACTGTACTGGCTCATTCATGATACAATATTGTTAATTTGTTTTTCATTAATTCGTAAAGATACATTACTGTAATAATCTGTGCTTATTAATACCTGTACCCTTCATATACAATACAATACAGTACTATGTATATACCTCATAGGTAAAAAATAATGTAATTCAAGACATCTTCAGGTCATAAGACCCACTAATCCCCCACCCAACAATGGGTGACCTGAGATTGCATCAGGCCAGGTTAGTAACATGACCCAATAATCTTCCACCCAACCTTCATCACAAGAGTTAAGACGTGATTACAGTTATGTATTACAGTCAGCTGAGTGAAGTGTGTAACAGAGACGTGACGATCACCCAAGTGACTTAACGAGCTGATCTGTGGTGAAGAGGATAAAAGTAACAGTTCTACCCTGTATTCACCCCCGTATCATACAGAGCTTTTTTTTTAATATATTTATTAACCAAACTTTTAGATAAAGTATTCAGTATTATTTTGCTGAAAAATATATGGTGTCTAATGAAATTAGAACTGATTTTACTGACTCCGGTATCAACATTTCTTACGTTTTTTTTTTTTTCATCTAAGAATGGAATTCCCATTACTATATCATATAGAAATATTTCATTTAAGGATATCTTATTGGAAACATCTCATAGAGAATTAATTTCAGGATCATTATGGTATCAAATTCATCTCCCTATCACAATTAACCACGCTTGAGTGAGTGAGGGAGGATGGGGGTGTTATTGACCACGTGACCCTCCCCCCCCAAAAAAAGTTCGCTTCTGCCAACAACACTCAGCCCACATCACCCATACTGTGCTACACACACCAATGCTATCACACATACACCCCCACATCACATCACATACACACACACACATACACACCACACACACCCTCCAACACCACCCACACACACCCTCCAACACCACCCACACACACCCTCCAACACCACCCCACACACCCTCAACACCACCCACACACCCTCCAACACCACCCCACACACCCTCCAACACCACCCCCACACACCCTCCAACACCACCCCACACACCCTCCCCCACCCCCCACACCCTCCAACACCACCCCCACACCCTCAACACCACCCACACACACCCTCCAACACCACCCACACCCACCCTCCAACACCACCCACACCCACCCTCCAACACCACCCACACCCACCTCCAACACCACCCACACCCCCTCCAACACCACCCACACACCCCTCCAACACCACCCACACACCCCCTCCACCACCACACACCCCTCCAACACCACCCACACACCCCCTCCAACACCACCCACACACCACCCTCACCCCACATCATCACCCCCATACATCACACACTCCAACATCACACACCCCCACACTACTACAGTAGAATGTCGATTTAAAGCGATTCAATTTAAGATTATTGATTTAAGGCGACGCCAACAATTAAGGACAATGTTTTAATTTAAAGCGAATCTTTCCTATTTTGCGCGAGTCAATCTGGTGCATCATATTTTAAAATTCGCGCCTAATGTTTCTCAGGGCACGCTACACTGTCCTTAGGGCAAAGTTGTACTGCACATGTAATCAAAATAATGTAATGTACTAAATGATTACATACTAAAATTTTTGTCTAGTGCAAACTATAGCATGATTATATTCAAATTAATCACTATCTTATAAGAATTCCATCAATGTAAATTATATTCTCCCCGGTTACTTCTATGACATTTTATAAGCAAAAACCAAAAACTTAATCTAAAGGACATAAATAAGCATGTAAATACTTCACTAGACCTTCAGCCCCAACTGTCAAACATGTCACTGTCACCTCCCCTTCCTTCCCCCCCCCCCTCCCAGCCAGGGATTATTGGTTATACAGTAGGCTTTAAGTTTTTATCTTATATAATAATTATCACAGACTAAAGTTAGGAGAATATAATTTGCATTGCTAGAATCCTTGCAAGACAGTGAATAATTTGAATACAAACATCATATATTTTGCACAA